GTTGTTGGCACGAAGTTACAGCAGTGAGTGGGATAAAGTTCTGCTTTGCTTCTGCTCTGGGCATGGAGTAAGGCAGGTGGCAACGATAAAGACCTAAATGACGTCAGGTGGTGTTGATGGCTGTGGAGGGACGAAAGCCAGAACTGAGAGATGAGTGAGTCATCTCAGATTTGGTGTGAGAGAAAGTAGGGGTGGGGTGGGAGCATTTGAGCAGAGGCCCCAGTGAGGTGAGGGCTGTGGGGTTGTTGGGGGAAGGACATTCCAGGAGCGAGGACAGTGTGTGCAAAGGTCCTGAGGTAGGAGCGTGCCTAGGGTTGAGTGCACCCCACCTGGAATAAGTACTTGTGGTTGGTGGAGGAATTAGCCCCTTGAGGCTTGTGCACACTTTCCTCTGAGCGGAAGGGAGGTGCCTACGTACACCGGGCAGGAAACTCACCAGATGACCAGAGCATGTGAGCTGTGAGCCAGCCTTCGGGAGGAAGCTGGGGAAGGACAGAAACTGTTTTGTCGTCTGTAAAACGAGACTCACAGCCCCAGCCAAGCAGGGTTGACGCAGCCTCGAGGCCCATCACAAACAAGCCCCTGGGAAAGGCACCCTGTGACTGTTTTGCAGGCGGGGAGACGAAGGCCAGAGAGGCCAGTTGGTGTGGCCGCGTCAGGCAGCTCAGCATTCAGTCCCAGCACCTTTGGCCTGACCATCCCTGCTTTTCTTGTCCCCTGCAGCTGGAGCTCACTGCACCTGAAATCCAGGTGGTAACTCAGCACAGAGCAGTTGAGTAGTGAAGGTGCAGCGTCCTCCTTCCTGATAAGGGCTGAGGCCCGGGAGCCTCCCCAGGAGCCCTGTAGGGGGTCAGTGGGGAGACCCAGGGTCCTTGCCCGAGTCCCTGCCCAAGGGGGTCCCAGCCTGTGGCCCTGGGCAGCCCAACTCGGGCCTGGCAGAGAGAGTCGAGGTGGCCATCCAGGGTTCTGGCCGGGTCCCAGCTGTCCCTGTCCCCCTGCCCTAGGTAGCACATCGACATGGGCGGTGACAGTGGCCCCTCAGGGAGCCTGGGCCAGGCCCAGGGAGGATGAGGCTTCCCAGGCCCCAGGGTCCTGCTCCTGGGAGTCCAGGCCGTGGACGGCACCTCCCCCAACAGGTCCCCAGGGTCCCACGGGAGCAGGAGTCCGGGGGCCCATTGGTGGGCTGTCTGCCCTGCACAGAGCACCTGTGGTGTCCCCATTCCCTGGAGTGTGTGGGCGGCACCTGCCTTGTCACTCAGAAGGGGGATGGGCTCAGAGGGGCCCCTGCTGACCTCCGAGAGCAGCTGGACAGGCCACGGGGGCTCCAGGTCTGGCTCCGAGGCTCAGGGCTCCGGATCCCCAGAGGGGCCCGGAACCTGTGGCACCTGCCACGCAGGGACACCCCACCTGGGTCACCTGAAGACCAGCCTGAGCCGGGAGGGCAGTCCTGTGCCCACGTGGCTCCGACTGTCCCTGCCCTGCTCTGCCCTGCCCCTCGGGCAGCCGCCCTTGCTGGTCTCTCTGGGTCCCCTTCCCGTCTGCAGGTGCCCGGGGAGGCCATCGCGTGCCGTAGCTGCTGGGGGCATGGCTCACAGCTGTCCTGCCCTGGTCTGGCAGTGCCATCTGCCTGAGCTGCCTGTGGCCACATCCCCCACCCAGGCTGCTGCCCCAGGATGTGGCACCTTGATGGCCCTGGGCACCCTGGCAGCTGCTTCCTGTCACCTCCCTCCTCCCTCTTACTGGCCACTGGCTGCGTTTTAAGGACTCAGCCAGGCCCAGTCGGCCGTCTCCCTGGCCCCAGGAGGTAGGCGCAGGTGCCTGGGTCTCCTCCTTCACTCGTGCTTGTCACCTGTCTCCCCGACTCCCTTCCTCTGGCTCATACGCACACCTTCCGGTCCCTCTTGCTGTCTGCCTGCTGGCTGTCTTGTTTTGCTCCGCTCCTTCCCCACCTCGCCCCTCCCCGCTGCCCCCCAGCCCCAGATGTGTTCAGCTTCAGCCCCCCCCAGTGCGTGTGTCAGAGGGCTGCTTCATGGAGGGGTGGGAGGGCCTGACCTTGCCTGTAGGCCCTGGGGACCTTGGCCCTGGCTGACCAGCACCCCTCCCCCGCTGTACTCCGCACCTCGAGGGGGCACAGCTGGCGGGGGGCCAGGGGCCGCCTCAGTGCCTTTTTGGCCTCTTGTCCCCCTCTCTGGCTGTCTCAGGCCTCACGGGCGGTGGGCAGGCAGCCCAGGGGGGACAGGCTGGCGGACGCACGGGGCGGGACGATGGGGCCTCTCCAGCTCTGAGTCACGGGGAGGGTGGGGGCTGGGCCTGGCCCGGGCCATCCTGGAGACCAGGAAGAGCAGGGGACAGGGTCACCGGCAGGGTCACCTTGAGGGCTCAGGGGCAGAGCTCAGAGTCTGGCTGGGCGCTGGGGGAGGCCAGGGCAGGACCCGCGGCCTCCCCTCAGCCCTCCCCGCCCGGACCTGGCCGGGCAGTGCCCTTGGAGCCGTGTGGACGGGGGTGGAGGGGCTCTGGCTGGAGCGGGCGCGCACACGGGCATGCGGGCGCACACGTGCTTTGCTGGCTGGCATGAGGGCAGGTGTCTGCACGGTTCCCGGGGTCCGTGCACACCTCCAACCCCACCCACGCTCTCCTGGGCTGACCACCGCACGCAGGCCTGGTGCACACGCGTGTGCTCCCGCGCCCCTGCCCATCCTGCGTCTGTGCGCGTCAGCACGCCCTGCGCCAGTGCCGGAGCCGCGCACCTGCGTGTGCACCTGCATACCAATGCGGTCCCCAGGCGTCCCCAGGCGAGAGGAGGGAGTGTGTGGAGGGCTCTCTGACAGGCGGCTGCTGGGCCCTGAGGCAGCGGGCTTGGGGACTGGCTCCTAGTACAGCCATCTGCCTGCGGGAGGGGACGGAGACCCAGAGGGGACAGCACGGGTCTGGGGTCCCTTGGAGCCGCACTGTGTGGGAGCAGGTCTCACCAGCCCTGAGACCTTGGTGGGGCCTGGCCAAGGACAGGAAAGCTGTCCACCGCCCGGCACCCCCTGCCTGCCTGGAGGCCTGGTGACACCGCGGGCTGGCCCTGCAGGGGACAGGGGGTGTGAGGTGGCCTCAGATGTCCTGCTCCTCCTAGCCTCTGACACAGCACCAGCTGGGACCCTGCTCAGCCCCCTCTGGGCCCTGTGGCCGTCCCCTCTCCTGCCGGCCCTGGGCGCAGGCCGTGAGCTGGCCCGGCTCTGATGGCCAAGTGTTTTTCCTAAGCTCCTCCTGGCGCTTCCCGGGGGAGGAGGTGGAGGTGGCTCTGGCTCTGTCCAAACCTGGGTGTCCGTGGCCTTGTCTTTACATCCTGGGCCCTGCTGCGCGGAGTGGGGGACGCTGCCTCCAGTCTTGGGCAGAGGGAGCCGGCCTGGCTGAGGGCTGTGTCCAGCTTGCTGGTGACCTGGCCAGGCCTCCCTGGGCCCAGGCCTCAGTTTCCCCACGTGGAGAGCGAGCGTTGACTCAGACGCCCCAAGGCCGTGGCCCCCGGGCCACCTTCCCTGCCCTTTATGGTGGGCGAGGGTAGCAGGAGTCACCTCGTCCTTCCGTCCAAGAGCCGGGGAGACCTAGGCCCGCTCTATGGAGGTGGAGATAGAGAGGCCATGGTTCACTGGCCGGCAAGGCTGCCTGTGGGGGCCCTGGCTGCTGGCCGGGGCTCAATGCCTCTGGGACCTTGACCTGACCCTGGCTGCGCTGTGTTACTTGGGGAAAGTCCTTGCCTCTCTGAGCCTCTGGGCCCACAGCCACCAAGGGGCTGTGGCCATGCTGTTCCAGAGGCCTGGGGATCCCCCTTTGGGATCAGGGTGATCTGGAGGGCAGTGTGGGGGTGACACTGGGCAGGTCTCTGAGTTCCCTGGCTCCTGCCCCCTTCCTTTGGCTGGGCTCTGCCTGGAGGGTGGGCCTTCCCCTGTGGAGACCCCCGGCCTCTGATCCCCCTGTGCAGGGGGGCGCCACGGCCGCCACAGGCTGCTCCCCTCCCCCACGGAAGCTGAGACAAGGGAATTATTTTTGGAATAAGAGCAGTTACACAACAAATGAATTATTTATCTTTGGGCCTGGAGACGGGAGGCGTTTTGCTGGGCTTCTTAATTCTTTATCCGGATTTGGGGGTGCCCACTTGGGTACGTGCCCTGTGTGTGCGGCCTGTCTGTCGTGGGCACAGATGGCAGGTGTGCTTGTGAGCGTGTGTCCCTGTCCACGTGTGTGTGCCGTGGGGTTCCGGCTCATGTGGGGGTCACTGTGCAGCCGGCAGGTGAGTGTGTGCACCGGGCTGGCGTGCGCGGGAGAGTGGGCCTGTGTCCCCGTCCTGTCCCGGCTCCTCCTCTGTCCTCGGGCCTCAGACTGCCCTGCCGGACCCCGAGTCCCCACCTCCTGCTCTCCGAGGACCCCTCCCCCTCCTGCCACTCACCAGCCCTCCCTCCCTTTACGTGGTGGGGACCCTGGGTCCTCCTTGTCACGGGGGCCCGGGGAGGGGATCTGCACTGGAGCTCCCGATGGGGCTAGTCTGGGCCCTGGCACTGATCGGTCACCCTCTCGGTGCTGCCTTTCAGGAACCAGGTGACCGATGGGGCGCTTCCCTCCTGACCCCGTCTCTTGCGCCCTTGGTGCCGCTCTCCAGTCTCCTGTGGGGATCTTCTGAAGTTCTGAGCCCAGAACCTGAGGAGGAAGAGGAGGAGGAGGAGGAGGAGGAGGAGGAGGAGGAGCAAGTCGAGGCCGAGAGCCGTGGTCCTTCCCACCCGGAGGCCAGGAGCCGGCCAGTAGCAGGCTCTGGGTGCCCGCACCCTGGCCAGGCCCCGTGCCTGCTGGTAGCTCCCCGGCCCAGCTGTTGGCACCCGCCGTGCCCACCTTGCCTGGGGCCCCCACGCTGGGGGTCGCCCCCAAGATGGTGGCGGCCCCCGGGAGGACTGTGCCGCCAGCCCCAGCCTCTGGCCGCTAGGCACCCCCCGCTTGGCCCTCCGCTCAGCCCTCCGAGGCCCGCGCCATGCTGCGCCTGGGGCTGTGCGCGGCCGCGCTGCTCTGCGTGTGCGGGCCCGGGGCCGTGCGCGCCGACTGCTGGCTCATCGAGGGGGACAAGGGCTACGTGTGGCTGGCCATCTGCAGCCAGAACCAGCCGCCCTACGAGACCATCCCGCAGCACATCAACAGCACGGTGCACGACCTGCGGCTCAACGAGAACAAGCTCAAGGCCGTGCTCTACTCCTCGCTCAACCGCTTCGGGAACCTCACCGACCTCAACCTGACCAAGAACGAGATCTCCTACATCGAGGACGGCGCCTTCCTGGGCCAGTCCAGCCTGCAGGTGCTGCAGCTGGGCTACAACCGGCTGAGCAACCTGACCGAGGGCATGCTGCGCGGCATGGGCCGCCTGCAGTTCCTCTTCGTGCAGCACAACCTCATCGAGGTGGTGACGCCCACCGCCTTCTCCGAGTGCCCCAGCCTCATCAGCATCGACCTGTCCTCCAACCGCCTCAGCCGCCTGGACGGCGCCACCTTCGCCAGCCTGGCCAGCCTGATGGTGTGTGAGCTGGCCGGCAACCCCTTCAACTGCGAGTGCGACCTCTTCGGCTTCCTCGCCTGGCTCGTCGTCTTCAACAACGTCACCAAGAACTATGACCGGCTGCAGTGCGAGTCGCCCAGGGAGTTCGCGGGCTACCCGCTGCTCGTGCCCCGGCCCTACCACAGCCTCAACGCCATCACCGTCCTGCAGGCCAAGTGCCGCAACGGCTCGCTGCCCGCCCGGCCCCAGAGCCACCCCACGCCCTACTCCACCGACGCCCAGAGGGAGCCCGACGAGAACTCGGGCTTCAACCCCGACGAGATCCTCTCGGTGGAGCCGCCGGCCTCGTCCACCACAGACGCCTCCGCGGGGCCCGCCATCAAGCTGCACCACGTCACCTTTACCTCGGCCACCCTGGTGGTCATCATCCCACACCCCTACAGCAAGATGTACGTCCTGGTCCAGTACAACAGCAGCTACTTCTCGGACGTCATGACGCTCAAGAACAAGAAGGAGATCGTGACGCTGGACAAGCTGCGGGCGCACACCGAGTACACCTTCTGCGTGACCTCGCTGCGCAACAGCCGCCGCTTCAACCACACCTGCCTGACCTTCACCACGAGGGACCCGGTGCCCGGGGACCTGGCGCCCAGCACCTCCACCACCACCCACTACATCATGACCATCCTGGGCTGCCTCTTCGGCATGGTCATCGTGCTGGGCGCCGTCTACTACTGCCTGCGCAGGCGGCGCCTGCAGGAGGAGAAGCAGAAGTCCGTCAACGTCAAGAAGACCATCCTGGAGATGCGCTACGGGGCCGACGTGGACGCCGGCTCCATCGTCCACGCCGCCCAGAAGCTGGGCGAGCCCCCCGTGCTGCCCGTGGCCCGCATGTCCTCCATCCCCTCCATGATTGGAGAGAAGCTGCCTGCCTCCAAGGGACTGGAGGCCGGGCTGGACACACCCAAGGTGGCCACCAAAGGCAACTATATCGAGGTGCGCACAGGTGCAGGGGGGGACGGCCTGGCCCGGCCAGAGGATGACCTCCCGGAGCTGGAAAACGGCCAGGGCTCGGCCGCCGAGATCTCCACCATCGCCAAGGAGGTGGACAAGGTCAACCAGATCATCAACAACTGCATCGATGCCCTCAAGCTGGACTCGGCCTCTTTCCTGGGGGCTGGCAGTGGTGGCGGGGACCCTGAGCTGGCCTTCGAGTGCCAGTCCCTCCCTCCAGCCGCCACCACCTCCACGGCCACCGCCCCTGGGGCGCTGGAGCGGCCCAGCTTCCTCTCTCCCCCCTACAAGGAGAGCTCCCACCACCCGCTGCAGCGCCAGCTCAGCGCCGACGCCGCGGTCACCCGCAAGACCTGCAGCGTGTCGTCCAGCGGCTCCATCAAGAGCGCCAAAGTCTTCAGCCTGGACGTGCCCGACCACCCGGCCGCCCCGGGGCTGGCCAAGGGCGACTCCAAGTACATCGAGAAGGGCAGCCCCCTCAACAGCCCACTGGACCGGCTCCCGCTGGTGCCCGCGGGCAGCAGCGGGGGCAGCGGCGGGGGCGGGGGCATCCACCACCTGGAGGTGAAGCCCGCCTACCACTGCAGCGAGCACCGGCACAGCTTCCCCGCCCTCTACTACGAGGAGGGCGCCGACAGCCTGAGCCAGCGCGTGTCCTTCCTCAAGCCGCTGACCCGCTCCAAGCGCGACTCCACCTACTCCCAGCTGTCCCCCAGACACTACTACTCAGGGTACTCCTCCAGCCCCGAGTACTCGTCCGAGAGCACGCACAAGATCTGGGAGCGCTTCCGGCCCTACAAGAAGCACCACCGCGAGGAGGTGTACATGGCCGCCGGCCACGCCCTGCGCAAGAAGGTCCAGTTCGCCAAGGACGAGGACCTGCACGACATCCTGGATTACTGGAAGGGGGTCTCGGCCCAGCAGAAGCTGTGACCCTCTCCTCCCTGGTGAGGCTGCAGGGGGAGGGCCAGGGCGCTCCGGGGTAGGGCCCCGGGGGCCGGGCGGGCAGGGGCGGACGGCCCAGGCGGAGGAGTGGACGCACACGCACACCCGCACGCACGCACCACGCACACACCTGACCACCACCTGACTGTGAACCAACCAACACCGACAATAACGGACAGGAAAACAAGACACATTTTCCTTAAAGTTTACAAACTGATACCGAAATCAGTCGTCTTTACTGTGCTGCCCAGGGACGCTGCCGGGCGTGCGGGGCTGGGCCAGGGGCAGGCGAGGAGGCCAGAGGAGAGCGGGGGACGGGGGCCAGGCGCGGGACTGGGGGAGAGGAGACTGGGAAGACACGGACGGAGCCCCTCTGGGTCAGGGAGGGCGACCTCCCGAGCTCGGGGACAGGTCACTTAGAGGTATGGCACTAGGTGGACATGGGTGCCATTTCCCTCCACTTCATGGATGGCCCAAGGAGCAAGGTGATGACCCTGGGGTCATGTGGCAGGTCAGACTCAGTCTCCCGGCTTCCTGGCCCAGGCCGTTCCCCCCAGCCACACCCCCAGGACCCCAGTCCACCAACACCCTTCCAAAGCTGTCACCGCCTGTGACCGAGGGGCTTGAGAACCAGGAAGGTGCTTTCCCTGTCCAGAAAGCCCACGGAAGTCCCCTCAGGGCACGGGGCTGAGCAGAGCAGAGCAAGGGGACATGCCACCACCCCCTTCAAGTGTCTTCCAAGTAGCCAGGGGAGCTGCCTGGGGAGGGACACTGGGTGGGCCAGCTCCCATGGCGTCTCAGGTGCAGGCTCCACACCCCTGGCCCCAGCCTCTCTGGGCCTCCGGGACCCCTGTCCACCCCAGAGGAGCAGCAGTGAACTGTGACACCCGGGGACAGCGGGGAGGCGGAAGGGGGCTTCCCGCCTGCTCCCTGCATCCTGCACCCCCCTGCCTGACCCCCAGCACGGGGTCTCAGGGCAGAGACTCAGCCTACCCAGAGGAAGGAGGAAGGAGGGCCCCCCCCCACCCCTGCCCCATCTCTCAGCCTGAGGGGGCCCCATGTTACCATGGAAACGGCCACTCCCCTTCCGACCCCCACCCAACATCGAACAAAGCACAAACAGTGAGCTCCCCCCACCACCCTGGGGTGGGGGGGAGCAGGCTGGGTCCACGGCCCCTCCCCCGGCTAGCCCGTCTCCATGGCAACCGGGTGCCTGGCAGTCGGTGCCCAGAGCAGACCGTGGGGCTCTGGGGGCTGAGTGTGGGCGGCAGCAGAGCGGGAGGGAGGGCCGGGCAGGGGCCGCCCCTCTCAAGAGCCAGGGCCTTCCCAGGACAAGCTCTGGGCGGGGTCCTGTGGCCGAGGCTGGCCCCTGGAGGTGGAGGAGCGCTGGGGGACCCGGGCAGCTTCCTCACCCACCCCGGGGTGGCGAGGGGCCCTGTCAGCTCCCCCTTCGCCCCTGCCAGAGACCCCCAGATCTGGCCTGTCACCCGTTTGGGCTTCTTGAGACTGGGGGTGTGATGGTGCCAAGGGACAAAGGCCTGTGCTGTGGGGGAGGGGCTCTGACCAGGAAGGCCACTTTCCCTGGGGGCTCCACCCACCCCCTGCTGGTGGGCTTGGGAAAGGACCAGGGGGCTCAGCTGACCTCCTCTGTCACATCAACTTCGGGGGTGGGCTGAGCCCAGAGCTCACTTTGGGGGTGACATTGGCAAAGAAAAGACTGTTCTCCTGGGGAGAAGAGGGGGTGGGCTGGCATGGAAACGCAGGAGCAGACCCCAGCCCCGAGCTCGCCCCCAACCCTCCTCACACCCAGTTGGCAAAGCCGAGCGAGCGGAGGGCGGCGAGAAGCAGGCTCCCTGTTACACTGCATGACGATTTTACTGTATTTTTCTGAGCAAACATCTGTTGTGTATGTGCCAGTTTGTCCCGTTGCCCCCCCCCCCCCAAGTCCCTCCATCGGGATCTGAGCAGCTCTTGAAACCCAGGGAGGGCCAGCTCTGCAGGAGACTCAAAACAGGTGCCACCAAAGCCCAGCCCTGCCCCACACCCACCTCCCATCCCTCGGGCTTTGGGCCCATAAGTGCCGCCTCACCACCTCCCCCTGTCCCTCTGGGGCCACCTCCCCCTCCCCTGGCCCCGCCCACCCTTCCCACCCCAGGGCCTTTCCTAGACAGCTTCTCCAGGAAGAGAACCCGGGTCTGGGGTCTGACCGCGTGGAGAGGTGCCGTCAGCCTGCTGAGGACAGGCGGCCTAGGCACAGGGCTCCATGGAGAGGCTTGGGGCCCGGAGGGAGGGAGGAGCCTGGGAGGGAGAGCGCGGCCAGCAGCCTGGCCATCAGTCCTGGGGACCATGACCCCTGAGACCTCAGGCCTTCCCCCATGGGCTCCCATCTCAACAGCAGGACCCTGGCGCTCCAGGAGGTGACATGACCTTGGAGACCCACGGGACACTGTTCTCTGAGGCAGAGCAGGGCCTAAGGGGCAGGTCTGGTCCCCCAGCAGCCAGAACCCCAGCTGCCAGGCCGGACCTGTGGGGAGGAGCCCACCCGGAGGCCCCTGCCTGAAATATTTACAAAAGACAAATGACCATTTATTCCAGGAGCCTGGCCGAGGGCCATGCTTATGATGGCAGTGGTCAGGGGCCGTGGTGGGGACAGGCTGGGGTGGCGCTGGGAGGGGGAGGGGCGTGGAAGGGAAAGGGGGCCAGTGGATCTTCCTGCCTCGAGCCCCAGTCAGGTCACCCTGGGTCTCCTGACCTGGGAACCACCTGTGAACCCTTCCCCAGGAAGGGACCCAGAGGTGCCCTCTGTCCTGAAGGGCACGGCAGGCACTGCCACCTCTCTGTTGCAGCTAATGACCTTCCAGAAATGAAAAGCAGAGATCCGGCCAGAAGAGATGAGTCTTGTGGACACCTCCTCAGGGGCCCCAGGCCAGGGTCTTCCCTCTTGGGAAAAGTCCCTCTCTGTCCCCCAGAGGTGCCATGCTCTGTGGCCCTCCTGGAGGAGGGGGCACAGGACCGGGAGCTGCTGTGTCAGGCAGGGGCCCTGTCTGGGGAGATATGGGGACCGTGGGGGTGGGAGGGCCAGGTGGGCCCCCGGGGCCCTGGAGAGGCCCTGGGCAGGGGGTGAAGGCCAGCGTGGCCGAGGCTCCTGGTGTCCCCATCCGAGGTGGCTTGTGCCCACTCTGGGGGAAGCAGAAGCACAGGAAACCCAGTGGGGAGGAGCCAAAGAGAGGGGCCAGGAAGGGGCAGACGGGGACCGCAGGGTCAGGAGCCTCTTCCTAAGAGGCCCAAACACAGTGAAGGGACAGACGGAAACTGCTTCCCGGAGGTCGCATCACGCAAAGAATTAACCGAGGGCGATGGAGGGGAGGGACAGAGTCCCTTGTCCCTTGGAGGAGGTGACGGGCAGTCAAACCCTACCTGACAGCAGGACCCAGTGGCTGTGAGAAGGGGCTGGTGGGCGCCAGCTGCAGCGGTGGCTTCTTGAAGCCCCTCCTTAGGTCACCCCACCCCCTGCCCTGGTTGGTTCCCGGCCTGGCAGGGCCCTTTCCCAGGGGTGAGGATGGTGGAGCAAGGCAGGGCATCTCTGGTGTCTGACCCCGAAGGACGGAAGCCTGACCCACCAAGGCCAGGGCGAAGGTTGGGCCCCCACGGCCGTGTCCAGTCCCTCCCACGGTCCCGCTCTCCGCCCCCCTCAGCCAGGAGAGGGGACCTCCTCCCAGCCCCACGCTCACGTCCATCCCGCCACGCCCCCTCCTGAGCCACCCCAACCCCGAGGACAGCATCAGTCTCTCCACCTCTTGTCTCAGTGTCCCTCGTGTGGCCAGTCACTCCTGCCGAGCCGTAGGGAGCGGAAGAGGGGTCCGTGGGGGCGGGGGGCCTAGGTCTCCTCTTCCCCCCAGCCCCGTTTCTCTGCCAGACAAGCACAGGGCGGGGCAGGGCTCCGGGCAGCAGGGGCGCCACCCTCCCCCAGCCCCCGCTCAGGAGCCCCGGCCTCGGGGGCTGTGGCCTGGCACCTGGTTTGAGCCCTGCAGAGCTGGGCTCAAGGCCCTGACCTCCGGACCTGGGAGCCCCAGCTGTGGACGGACCCTCCCTCCCTCCGGGGCCTGGAACTCTCTCCTTTTCTTCTTTTGGGGGGGCAACTTCATTTATTTTCTCCTCCCTCCATCTGCCCCCCCAATTTCCTGTTTTAAACTGAATGGCACGAAATCGTTTTCCTCAACTCGGAGATTCCTGTATGGAGAGAACCAATTTCTATATTTGCAATAAATTTCTTATTTAAAACAGCGGGGTCGAGGCTCGTGTTGAATGTGCCCGCGCTGGGCGCCCAGTGCCCCCAGTTCCTGTGCCCCTTCCCAAGTCCTCTCCTCACCTGGAGCCCTGCCCTCGGGGCTAGGGATGGGGCCAACTGGACGGGTCATCGCTGCCCAAGGTCAAGGGAAGAAGACGCAGGGAGGCGTCCCCCGGCGCTCCCTGGGTCTGGTGGGCTGGTGCCCGGGAGGCCTGCGTGGACGCCTGGACACCCTTGGCCCTGTGTCCTCAGGCTCCTCCTGGCCACCTTCACCCTGGATGCAGGCCCGTGTAGACCCCTGTGGAGACAGAGGGGCACGGGGGACATCTCTGGTACAAAGCTGCCCCAGTCAATGACCACAGGCCACCGGTGGTCCCAGGCCTGCTCCTGCCATGGTGGGTCCAGGTCCCTGTGGGACCCCTGGGCCACCTCCAGGCCTGGCCTGGCCACCTGCCCGGGTGTCCTCTGCCATCTACTGGCCTCTTTCTCACAGCTATCGGCCTCTACTCCTTCAGGAGTCAAGGGGTGCTACTGTGTCTATGGTCACCATGCAGTGGCCGCAGGTTCACACCGTGGCTCTGGAGCCCTGGGCTCAGCCTCAGCCCCCGCCCTCTCCGCAGAGCCCTTTCCTCCAGCTCTGCACACCCCTCCTCCATGAAGGCCCTGGGCTGGGCCCCCGCGGCTCCCTGGGCTGCGCTGGCCCCTGGGAAGGCATCACATGGGCACTCAGCCACTTCGACCTGGGGGGCAGGAGCGGTCGCCCCAGTGGCTGTCCTGTTTCCTTCACTGGACTTGGTAGCACCGTGGGGACCTTGTGGGAGGGCAGAGGCTGAGGCTCCCTCCCTCCTGCTGGGCCTCCGCTGGCCTGGGCCTCCTCCAGGGCCTCGCACAACCTGACGGCCACTCCCGGGTGGCTGCAAGGTCTCTTTCCTGGATCTTCCCCAGGTGACGCCTTCCTGAGCCTCAAGGTCACCCCTAGGGCCTGAACCTGGCCTGGCTGTAGGGCACTCCCGTGCCTCCCTGAGGCCTCTCTCTTACAGTCCCCTCTGTCCTGGGAGGTCCTCAATCCTGCTCCCTGGCCACCAGCTCCAGGGGGTGTCCCACACCCGAGAGGCGTGTTCTTCAGTGTCTCCCTGGAGCGGGGTGAGTGAGCCTGGCCCTTCCTTCCCGGGCTCCTTCACCCCAGAGCTCTGGACAACAGGCCAGTCTGGCCTCCCGGGCTGTCTGCAGCACCTCCATGTGGGCAGCAGTGTCTGGGGCCCTTGGCCTGAGCAGGGGCAGCAGGAGCCAGCGGGGTCAGCGCCCCCGCACCCTGGTGCTCTGACCACTCTGCTCTCCCCTCACACCTCCACCTGCCGCGCCTCCTGCCTGCAGAGCCCATGGC